GCAGTGGTTTTTTATCTTTAAGGGGTGGGTTTGATATCTTCATGCCCAACCTTCACGCTTTACAGACCTGACTATCAGTTTTAGCCAGGTTGGTGTGTGCGTCGGCCAGGGATTGAACTCCAGATCTCGTCCGAAGTTGGCCAGCTTTCTACCGCCGAACCATCGGCGCACTAATTTTGTGATACATTTTGTTAAACTGAACAATAAATCTTGGAGTTTATTCAGCACTTTCGGTTTCAGTATACATCTGCTTGGAACAATTTGGTTTTGTTTAGGATTTTGGTCGAAGACTGTGAGTCCGTATCCTCTGATTGTTATTCTCACAGTGGCTGTAAGAACACCTTTAATATGCCCAAGTGTTACATCTGATAAGGTTACAGCACTCTTCCAAACACGTAACAGGAAATGACATAAGAACAGGGATTTGAGAAAATTTAGTCCTGCATACTACCTGTCCAATTACATTGAGACGAAAGTGTGCAACTTTATTTCGTAGTAACTTATATCCTCACTCAAAGGCAACATGTGAAGTTATTAGAGTATCTTTTTGAACACGTAATATGAAATTACGTAAGACTATGCACAACACTTGGGGAAATTCAAATTGCAGTTGTCCACGCCTGCTTTATATTATCAAGAAGGCGAAAAATTGGTAAATTTGTGATTAAGAATGCTTGCGTACTCATCCCCATTCTTAGTGTTTTACTCGAGATGAAGTCTAAAAAGTATAGCACGAGTCTATGGCAAGGAATAAGCGAATTAATTATTTTGCTAAAGTGTGGGTAAAATATCAAAATAGACTCAGAATATTTTAGAGTTACAGAATATTCAACGAAATGAGAAGATGTGTGGGAAAGACAGAAAAGTTTTTACTCAGAAAATACTAGATGAATCTTTCCGTCAAATTATTAGCCTAAAGGTTTCATCATGATTGGACATTGGGTTCTGACCTTCATTTTATAAGCTTACCGATTAATCTGATGATGCGCGATCAAGCATTCCCGCCGTTCAGCACGCTGTCGTGTTACCGTCGTTTATTCCTAGTGATCATCACTGTATTTCCGATTCCAACACAAATTTCGTATTTTTGGCGATCAATTCATTACTTCGGTCTTACCATCCTCTAAGTAGAGCAATTGTCAGTGTTGGTGAACACTGAAGGAGTGTCCAGTGACTCTGTTTGTTCTAGCTAGTTTTATTTTCTCTGCAGGCGACGATATCTGCCGTGGATTCGATGTTTTCTGGTCAGTAGAAGATCAGGGGAATATGATAAGAAACCTTTTAGTGTATTTATAATCACTAACTATGAACTTTACGATTAAATTGCCGCAGAATTAACTTCGTTATATTGGCTTTTTGTTGGCTGAGCAATAAGTCTTTGACTCTCTTTTCTATCTTTTGTTACCAATCTCACTGAAGTCCATATTATTCTGCACAAACCACTTTCGTTCTTGCTTTATTCGAAGTCCAGTTCGTTGTCAAGTACCTAACTAGTGTTCTGGGTTCAGAATCGTTATCTTCTAAAAATAGTAATAATTGTGGATAGCGTTATTGACCGATTTCCTCAATTAACAGTTTCTAATCCAGACAACAACAAGTACTTTGGAATGCGGAGAAAACACACTTGCATTCGCATATGAGCTTTCCTTGCATAATTGCTTGCTACATGTGTATATTATTTAACATACTGATGATCTGTATAAACAGAGGACGGACTTCTCTTTTGCCTTTTATCGTTTATGCAACTTGACTTATCCCAAAACACAACATTTTGCCAGAGCTAGTAACATAGAATGACATGAATGAACAAACAAATATATGTTGTACATCTGAAGTCCTTCCATAACAACATAAAGTGAACCGTCTGAATTCTGACATATGTTCATCTCCATTCCCCATTTCGGAGCATATCCAATTACGGTTGACATCTGGCTCAACAACTTTAATTAACACGGAAAAATTCAATAAGTTTTTAAATATTTTTTATTATAGCTTGATTTCACACAGTATTTTGGTACAACTATGGAATTTTCAGCAAATTATATCGGAAGCCCAAATTAATCAGACAGATCATTGATACCAGGTGTGCGTTGGTCGGGGATCGAAACTCAGACCATGTACATCGTCGGCAATCGTCCAAACCTCTTTGCCTCCGACGCACCCGATTCGCCCACTAGTACGGTTGGGTCTGCCTATCGCGAAATGACTCTGTAACCCCTAGTGCTACTACACACACTGTATTGCTCTTCACAAACTAACAATTAACCAGGATTTGTGGATCAGTCACAGGAATTTGGGAAAGAAGTTTAACTGAACAACCAAAGGCAAATTTGAGTAATCGTTTCGCAGGTTTTATACTTTATCTTTACTTTCCACTCGTTCTTAATATTTGAAAATTCACTTAGGGATGTGAGTATTGAGAATAACTCCTTAGTAGCTGCCCATCCGAACTCGCGTTACGGTGACCGCAGCAGCCACAGAAAACACGAAGAAAGGTTGTTCAAGTGAGCTGGGGCAAACGACACCTTCTAAAATACTGCCTCCAAAAATGTATCTCCCACTTCTACGTCAAAACCTGAAGTAGAAATCATTGTCCTTTGGACTGATTTGCATGCTGCTTCACCGTTGGGATTGGCTTTAGGACTACTGTTCGAAGCAGTACACCAAAAGCCTGCTCTCCAGAGGGTAGGCTCATCAATGTTTGCCGGAGAAAAGGGTGACAAGTGAAAGTAAGGTGTAATTATGTTGAGTATTCCCACTTCTGACGTCATCCTGCTGGTTAGCAAAGATGTATTTGACAAACAACAGCTAGAAGCCTTTCACTGCATACTCGATTAAGTTGATGTACAGGCTAAGCTATGAAGGTCGCAGAGTGGGGCAAAGTTAAACTTTAAGCACCACCACCTACCAATCAGCAAATAACCTCGAAAGCACCAATCACATGAAGGAGGCATTTTTGTGTATGGAATTCATATATTTGGAGTGAGGCTATGTTCTATGATAAGGTGTTTTCGCGCATTGCATGGGTTATCGCGTTCACGCCTAAAAAGACGTTCTAACCGCTCAGTATTGTGAAAATAGATTCTATTTGACTAGTTTTAGGCTTCTGTAGCCGAAAAATGCAATATTTTTGTGTATTGTGTTCGTAGTAATGCGTAAAATTGTCATGACAGCCTAGACGAATTACTAATAAAAAAGTCATCATTTTGAAGAAATATCGCATAAAAAGTCCATTATTAGGGTTTTAGAGCATTTAGGCATTGTTTTTTGTGAGTTGTTTCAGATCTTAAGGTTGTAAATTGACTGCAGGCAATGGCTGTTGTCATCCCAGTTATTCTATGAGAATCGTGCATTTGAAAGAGAAATAGCCTAGATAAATAAGTTTGATGTGTGTTTTGAGGATGTCAGACACTTCTTTTATCATCTGTGATGACTGAAATATTCCATAGCACATGGAAGAGATCATGCAATGAATGAGACAGGCTGCTGCATTTCCTGGTGTTTATATCTACTTTGATGAAGTTCCTATTTAAAATTGCTTAGGCGAAGACATGATACTAGTTTAATTGACATTTGCACTTGGAATGTCAGAAGGCTTTAATTGTTCATTGTCAAAAATGGCATCAGATTATGTGTATATCAGTGTGCATGGGGTTACGAAGAATACTGCAGATGGTCCTCCTGAAATGTCAGACTACTTAAAATTAGTATCAATTTTCTGTCGATTAGTAGCTAGCAGGTGTGTCCTACAACTACTGCACCTGTTACATAAGTTATCCCAGTCTTAACAACTGTTCGTGTTCAGATCACTAAGATATTCTGGGATGCTTAATGAATTACTTGTGGCTATGAAGGATATTGAAGAATCACTTATGGCTCATATGTTTAAATCATTTATTATTAAAAAATTTATCTGTAGGGATTTTTTAATGTTCAGAATACAATGCTTGAGTGTATGTAGTGACTGCATGCTTATGTGCGTGAAGGAAAAGTTTGTTGAAACCAAGATGTGATGAAGTTTCCTGTACACTGTTCATTGTGAATGGTTTACAAGTTGACACTTATCATAACCTGTTCTAATTACTCGTTCACTAAGTGAACAACTTGAACTTCTGAAAAAGTTTTATTATATGATACTTGAGGATTGTAATTCATTACATAACTTATTGTGCCTGTAGAAATTACATGCATTCATTGTAAATACCCGTTTAGACGACTTATTGATTTACTATTATTTGCTTGCTGCTGTACTGCATAAGACGAACAATCTCTGTGTGACATTGAAAACTGCAGAAGAATGCTTTCATAACGGAAGAATGAAAAAGAACCTTTTTCCGAAAAGGTATGTAAATATAAAGGGTTTAACTGTAATATTACTTCTTCCTTACTTCTGCGATTTAAAAAGATACACTTTGTTCACTTATTTACAGATATCCGGCAATGTCAGTCTACTGGGTCACAGGAATTCAACATGGGCGAAATAATTACGATAAACAATTGTGTAAAGACATTTGCTTTTTTTTTCATGAAATACATTTAACATCCTGCTTACAATACTTTTCTTATTCTATCTAAATGAAATTAATTTTTTTTTGCATGACGATGCAGATGTCAGACTTATCAATGATACTTGATGATTTATTTGACTGCATAATTGAACTTAAGCGAAATGTTACTACTACTGCTACAGCTCAACCTACCTATTTATTCGTCATGTGTAAACTTAACTTTACAGTATACGTTAACACCCGTTATCACAGGGACTGCCATAACGTTTTAATTGAAACATTAGTAATACACTGATTTGTAATACAGGAAACCGTATACCAACTGTAACTGCAATGCATATGACTATGAGAAGTCTTCACGTAACTGTAGACAGAGACTTAAGGTCCACTAAACTACTTATAATTCACCACGTATATCGGTCGATAGTGTTTCTGCAGAATTACACTTAAGTATAGTAACGATTTCAAGTCCTACAGAGCACCGGCCTAGCATGCCGTGCTCACAAAGCGAACACATTAATTGAAAGACAACAAGATTTATATGAAAAGTTCATATTTATTATAAGACAACATTACTTTGTTTACATATTAAGAAAACGCTGTACATATGCGATACAGTCTCCTGCGATGTTCGCGGCAAACGCCTCTCCAAATTTGTCAGTAAGTCTTGTCAGGCACTCATTAAAAAGCCTCCTTTGGGTTTGCACTATGTTACACGGATTTCGAGGGACAACTGCGGAAATGCTTTGAGATGCGCATGAGTCGCGTGACCACGTCCAGTGTTTACATTTCTGAAGCACATGATTGACTATAAAAGGTGGAACAAGAAAAGTAAATATAATTACGAACACAAACGCAAATGTACCTGTAAAACACGGCTTTCTGAAATGGACCAACAGCAAGTGCCTGCAGGGGTACCGACATGTCTGAAACGTCAAACAAGTGCATGTACAAGCACGCAGATCAACCTCTACTCTCCTCTCATGGTCTTGGAAGAAGACGTAGTCGGAAGTTTCAACCTCCACCGAAGCCCATCGCCGCTTTTCATATTCAAGTATCACTTTTCTGGCAGCGTATGGTGTCAGCAGTCGAAGGATTGGTATTAAACGTTGTGAACATGAATACGTGAGGCATCGCGACCGAGCAATCATCGACTCCTGCTGAATTCTGGAATAACTTCGTTCACACCATTTATAAACCTTCAGCATGCTTTTCTGCAGACTGTCTGACCTTTGCAAGTACCGCTTCACTTGCCTGTGTGAACTTTCTACTCGATTATTAGTAGCATTACCATAAGTCAGCACGTGATCTCTGAAAGCTGCTGCCCACAATTCTCGTCTACTCATCCAACGACGCTGTATATATTGACTGACACGAACATCCAATCTGCTTATAACTCTATAATAGAAATTAAATCTGGAAAATGAAAATATTACAGGCATTACTCTGATCTACTTTTACACTGAACTAAGCGACATAAATAGTTCTTAACAATGGGATTCCGTGTCTGCAAGTAAAATTTTTAATGTGCTAAAAAAATTTACTTTACGACAGAATGCACGACAAACATGGAAAGAACAGAGCACAATGTGCGCTTGCCTGTGCGTTAACTTCACTGCTCCTAATTTACATTGCGCACAGTCCATAATAAATGTCTCAGTTTTAGATGTATCTTCCATTATTTGACCAAATGAGTCCAAAATCCATACTACATCACGCTTGAATTCCTTTCGAGTCCAAGCGAATAACACTGGTCGCCCACGACCAAAATTATCCGTCACAAGTAATTGGAACAATGAATACCTGCATGTTGATTAATGAATTGGTAAACTTACTTCCCTTTATTCGTATTATATGTAGAGTCAATACCGACAACCTCCGGGAACTGTTTATACAACTGGATTTGCTCATTAGTTGAAAAACAGACTCTTGTTAGTGAATTCCGCGTAGGTCCATCTGAGTAATACTCCATTAACTTCCCACGGCATTTCAGGAAATCAAAAATGTCACGACGGCTCGACATACCTTAAGTAAATAACAATTACGTCTAAGTTACCTTTATTAACTACGGCTTTCATATTTTTAACGTCACTACGAGTTATATCCTAGCGGAATTTTTCCTTAACATGCGCAACTATTTCATCGGATGAGTGCGATTGCTGAAGAAGGGGTTCCAAGTTTTCTTTCTCTTCTACTGTTAGTCTTCTATACCAGGGGTCATTCTGCATGTACACCCTATCGCATGGATGGTTATGCACCATTTTGTGAGCAGTAATTACGTATTCACTAATATGCAAAACCACCCGAATCGAAGAAGGACAATTGCAACATTTAGACCTTAAATATTCATAATAGCATAGTATAATTCTTCTTACGACTTGTTTCTCAATTTTAAGCCAGGCTTTACACGATGCACTCCAAAAGTACATTTAAAACCAACACATGCGTACTTGAATATATCAACCGCTATTCTTTTGCTCTGAATACGGACGTAGTGAGTGCAGGACAACTACATTGTTAGCATTAAATAACTTCCTCACTTTTTGAAATTCTTCTAATGCTTTCTCAAATTCCTCCCAGCTGAAGTAACGCCTTCCAAGCATTACTTCACCAAAAATTCCACTAACGTCTGCACTGCTTCCTGTCGCATTGACTACCTGCTGTGAACTTCAAAAAAGGCTAGATCAATTAGCATCCATCTATGTCACAACTATTTCAAGATAATTCAGTAAACAAAGCAATATTAAAATGCATGACTGATCAATATCCATCAAGATATACCGCACGAAACAATAAATTTTAGAACAGCACAAAAACCCACGGGTTCGTTGATATCGCAGGCAACCGACAGGCCAAACAACCCAGTGTATGACAAACCAAGCCTTGTACATGCACTAAAAAAGAAGAACAACACGTTTTATAAGTCTAAGTTTACAATTACATTCATCAAATCTCCTTAGAAACAATGCACGACGCAAGCACACACGGCTGCACACGACATCACCAACCTACCAAAGTCAAATATAAACTTACCGCCACTGTTCCAGCCAATGAAAGACCAGAAAACCTCAGGAGCGGAGAAATTAAACCGTCATAACCGGCAGAAATTAAACGCCATGTACAAGGTCATTGATGGAGTGAGACGCTCAAAGGTCATTTTCGTCCATGTTAGTCGGCCATGTTGGATTGCAGTTCCGTTGCTGTTCGTTTACACATCGATTTTTCCGTTTATCCAGCAGTTATTCACAACTTATCTTGATGCACATTGTTCACAAATGTTGCGTTTCACTTCATTATTGTTTCCATTTCTGTTGAAATTAGTTATTTCGTTTGTTTCGAAAGTTTTTGCCACCAGGTCAGTGCATTCGTTTCATTGTAATTGTTTCATACGTTGCATTCATGCATGGTTTCAGTGTTTTAATTGTTTTTCAGCTATTAATGAATTAGTACTGTGTAGAAATCTTGGAGATTATACACGTGAACATGTTTGGGAAGCAGAAGCCATTGTTTCCAGTTCATTTTTGGTTGCCGTTATTGCTGCTGGCTCAATTGGTTACTTAATATGTAGGAATCTGGAAAAAAATGTCTCTCACGTTCATGTTTACAGCATGCAACAATCTACGAATGAATCCGGTGAAGAGAGCACCATCAGGGTTGATATTAGCAAAGTTTTCGAAGAACTAATTAAACCCAGAGAATTTAGAACCTGGTTTGAAGTTTAAAATGCTTTGGAGCTTTTCGACAAGGTGTCTGTTGTCAGCTAAAAAATCAGGTATATTGTGAGAGAATCAAGCAAGGGTGAGCCACATGTGAAGTATGAATGTGTGGTGTTTGTATGTACTTTTGGAAGCAAAATTAGGAAGCAATAGGAAATCCCTAAATGATTGTTAATGCCTAGTGTACTAGATCCAAACGCACGAACTAGGACTGCCTGTAGTAAACGCGGTGTTAACAACCATTTTATTTGTTTCAAAAGGATTTGAAAAGCGGCTAACGTACGATGATCTGGTGAGTGTTCGGTAAGAATTTCACTAGCAAGAATAACGTTTCGAATTTACAACCGTCTGAGAAGCTGATTATTAATCGGGGTGAAAAAATTGGCTGGTTACAAATTGCTTGTTTCAGTTCAAATAATGAAATTCCTATTTTTCGGATGCTTGTGATTTCTCCGTGGTTATAAACACGGTTGCCCATGATTTATAAGAAAACTTTAAATAAATTTTCTTTGAACCAGTGGTCTTCTTTTTCTTGGCGAAGCATCTATTGAGACGATTAGGTAGCAAAGTAGAATGTTTTGTGATTGAGAATCGTAGTCGTTGAGTTTCGGATTTATATCGCGCATCTAATTGCTATAACCCTATGAATAAAGCTTTTTCCTCATGGTGCATTATGATGTCTAGAAACCATAAGCACACTGCCTTCGATAAATTTGTTTTTACTTTTTAAATGACAGCAAATAGTGAGTCATTTGAGGCGATAGGATAAATACCTCTAAACGCTTTCGTGAAGAGATTAGGATATGTTTATTTTCTCGACTAGGAGACGATCTTTTTACCCAGAAAGCTCTCAGGATGTCCGCTTTTACTTTGTAATTCAAAGATAACGTTGAGTTGCTCACTTAGGTAGTAGCAAGGGGGTAGCTTTAGGTAATGCGTCATAGAAGTAAGCAGTGTATGTCTAAATATATTAAACGTTGTAAAGCCGGTCAAATCGTAGTTCTCAAATATGAGTTAGTTTTTTAAATAATGAGTGTACCGTGCTAGCGTTTGTGCTCGAAACGTCATCAGTTAATATAACTGTACAACACTGTCTGATTTATCAAAATAAAATCTTATCCATAATGGAGTTATACTCTACCACAGTGCCCAAGTTTTATACTTATATCAGCGTTTACCTTGGTTTGCATACCTAGCTCATGCATGCGTGTGATATACATTTAAGGCTAATACGCTGTTTGATGAATTAGTCCGAGATACTTAAAGTCAGACTTGAGCTCTATATCACTGTCATCAATTTTGCAACGGTCATAGGAATTAACAGCTTCACCTGACTTTCTCTTACATCGGAAACTGAAATTGACAGTCTGACATTTGGAAGGATTTAGTTTAAAAGCATTTTCTGACTACTAATAGAGAGCTGTTCATCTTAGTACAGTGTAGATGCGAATTAAAAGACACCGGAATAGTTAGTCCGCGCACTTGACATATTTCATTTCGTATGCGTATGTACATTAAGTTCGTCAAACAAAAATACAATTGGTACTGGACGACTATAATGGAGAAAATGTTGTGATGCAAGACTGCAGCTGCATCTAAATTACTTCTACTGTGTTTATAGGCGAATTATTTGAGTTCGTTAAAGGCTTTAAGTGAAGGTTGAAGATTAAGTAAGAGTAACTTTTCCATAGCTTTTACAAAAGGGGAGGTAATAGCAATAGGTCAAAATTTAAAACATGTTCCATTAGACGACTTAGGTACAGGTACAATTTTAAAGTCCTTCCAAACGGCTGGCACAACATTTCTGGAAAAAGATTCATTAAATATGTGAGAGGATATCTGTACATTTTTGAAGAATAAGGCTAGGCAAACAATCTGGAACTACAAGAAGGGTTCAACGACTGGTGACATTTTAGAACGTCATTTAATAATAATAATAATTTACTTTATTCCAAAAACAGTACTTGTGATACAGAATGGAAATTTCAGCATTAATCACAAAATTGCATCTAATTTCCTCAATTATAAATAAAATTAATCACACAGAAAATTTTTCTACATTTACAATAGGGTTAATATAAAAAAAATAAAAAACATGCAGCATATAAAATGGAAATAATAATAATGATAGCAGCTAAGGTAATGATAATAATACAAGTGGAAATTGCCGTGGGCTTGTTTCACACAGTATTGTCGATGCGGTATACAAATCCTTGCATGATTAAAAATATTGAATATGATGTTCTCTTTACATGATATGGTGAGGGGAAAAACAAAGATTACAGCAGTCATAGAGATAAGTTGGTGTTTGCAGTTATGAAAGTGAAAACAAAGAATCAACAGGACCATAAATATAATAGAAATAATAAAAGTAAAACTTGAAGGTATATAAAGATGGATGGAGGAGATTGTTTATTTTGAAATAATAGAGAAGATTTGTAGCTCAGGTGGATGATTTGCAATTAAAAGTGTTCTCTGAAGAAGAAATTTAAATCATTTCACTCTGTGCTAAATATGGCGCTGAAGATGTTGTCCGGAAGGACGACGAAAGCTTCGCGACTAAACCAACCAGCTCAGAGAACACTTTTAATTGCAGATTGTTTATTTACTAGATGAAAAAAGGTTTGTATTGAAACCAAGGAAGCAACTCTCATTAACACTTGTGACACCAGAAACCTTGGTATTTGTGGGAGAATGTATGAATGCCTTGTTTACCGTACACACATCAAATGAATAGGATATACTGTTGTAATACTGGAGGTAATCAGATGCATAAATGCGTAAGTTATTTAATATTCATAAAGTAGATATGCAAACACCGCAGTTGTTGATTATAGAAATGATGGATATTAGATAACATCACATGATTCAACGGCATATTAGAAATAGATGAAAATTGTTTCTTTGCTCACTGTCAAGTGAACAGTCTATTTGACGATGTCACTGCATATTAACAGATTAGTGAAGTAGCTGTCAAGCCTAAGTCATTAAATTTACTTGTACTTCATACTTGGCGTTTAACAGTGTACAGAATTGCAACTGGCTAGATAAGGCGATTTTAGCGTATCGAACAGTACAGAATTATTATTTAAATTGCTAAATCTTACTTAGTTTTTACAATGTGCTACTGTATAGAAACAGACACGAAATCTTACGAAGGGCTAAAGTAACAGTCTCATAATACTATAGTAAATCTCCATCCCTCTAACTAAGCTTAACATGCATTGATCCGAATTCACTTATTACAAAAGCACATAGTATAGCGACGCACTGAAAAAGTCTAGAGGAAGTAGAATTGAAGAGTATATTAAACATTTCATTAATTTACAAAAGAAAATCCCGATGAAGAGTATTAACGTTAGTTTGTCCGGATGATATTTCCGCTGGTTTCATATTCGACAACTTCCGTATACCTGAAAAAAATAAAGCACATGTAAGGACTAGCACAACATGAAGTTATGAAAGATAATTCTACATATTAGCACACACTGAATACACTGATTCGGTTAATACTAAGTAATATCTCATGCAAATAAATGTATATGTAGTTTTCAGCTGGTTTTTATATTGGCACTATAAGCATCAATAGACCTCAAATGTTTTCCAGTATTAAAGGATTACACGCAAATATCAAGACAATCTTTGAAGCTTCCATACTGTTGAGGCGTCATACTCTCATTAACCTTAGTTGCAGATCAACTTCACACTGAATACGTTTACATTAAATGAAGTATTGCAAATGTGTAACTTAGAAATTGATCCATAATCTCAGTAATGTCTAATGAGCATAGTTTTATGAATCCTACAGAAATTACATTCTCATATTCAGGAATCTATAGCCATCAAGTATAAGCTGAACATGCTTCAACTCTAAGCAACTATGCACAGTGTTAGCAGCATAGAGAAACACTTAAAATATTGTAAGATACGCAGACCTGTTGCGTCGATGAGGATAACAATGACATATAATGCAACCTAGACATTCGATCGTGACACTGCATCTGTACTGCTTCATGTTAATGGAAAATTCAGGAAAAATTCATCACCACTACTGGTGATCAAAAACAGTGCAGCATTAAGTTTACAGTGCCAGTGAGAATGGCATAACAGACAGTAGATTGATAGTAATAGAGCTGACTAGATTCAGTTCTCATAATCGACACAATCCATGTGTATAATAATACTATACACTGAATTAATGCACTAAGCGACACAGTAAGGAATTTAAACGAGTGATTGCCTTCTCCACGGCACTGCACTTGCAATAATCATGACAACCACCTACGTTTGCTAGCCA